AGGGCGGGGTGAATGGAGCAACCCCACACACCTACACACACACACCATCCTGAGGCAGCTGACACTGTTGTTCTGGTCCATAATCTGGATGTAAACTCACCGCTGGCTATCTGTGCTGTCATTGAGTAAATGTAATAGAGCTGACCATGAATGAATACCAGGTGCTCTTAGGAGGCTGGACAGAGTCGTGTTTACATGGACCAAGCCACCTCTACTATTTGGATTAGATGGAAAATGTGAAAATATTAAACTACGTTCCTCCTGGCTCCCAAAGCAGATTATTTTTAAGAGTTTATATTGCTAGCCTAAGGTAAAAAAAAAAAAATCTTTGTGTTTGTAGCTGTCATAATCTGAATCCTGGTGGGGCTCTGCTCTAACTTTTCAAAATAGTGGTATTTTCGTTTGAATATTCAATTTTTATGTTTTGATGAAGCTTACTCTTGTGTATTCAAATGCATTATTCATTCTGTGAAGTAGACAACTGGACTTCAAAATATGTAACAATACTTTGACAAGACATCTTTAAAAAAAAGATTGAAAACATGGCATCTTTTTTGAAGCATGCTAATTCTTGTTCCCATTATAATAATAACATGTTGGTCTGTCACAGCTATCACGTTACTGTCACCAGATGAAGATCAGTTCTGACTATTTGTGATAGTAACATTAGAAAACGCACGGCGTAAACAATGTGTCAGGAGATTCTTCAAATGTTCAGCTCTTATCTTGGGAGAAAAGTTGACGCAGAGAAATGAAAACTGATTAGGATGAAAACATTTGTCTCTTTTGTGTGTAACTGTTGTTTTTTGTGTTTGTATTCTGCTTTTAGCACTGGAGAAGATACACCGGGATGGTATCACGCTGTTGGTAACCAGCTCCAGTTCCACAAAGGCCGGTGTAACCTCACTCTCTTCTCCTGAACACTGACAACCGTCCCTCAGCCATGGCGAACATAAACAATGCGCTTTGCATTGAAAACGCAGATATTTCTCTCTTACAAAAGGATAATCTCCAGGATGTTGGATTAAGCCAGCTTTTGGATTATAACGCTGAAATGGAAAGGTACAGGTCTTTTGCAAACTTTTATAAAACCAATGGGGCATTTCCACAGACTGCTAAGATTGCCCGCATCACAACGCCCATTTTTCCCAGTGCCAGAATTGGCATGTCCCCTTGGAACTGCGATAACGCCATGCTCTGGGGAAGGAAATCAGCGGCAATAAACCCTAATAGGACCAGCATGCATAGAAATGACTCCCAGAGGCCGGGGAAGCCTGGCGTGCCAGAGACGCTGCAAATGGCAAATAATAATTTCCTCTCTACCTTATCCCCCGAACACTGCAGAACTTTAGGGGGAGAATGCATGAACAAGCTGAAATGCAGCGCTGCTGAAGCAGAGATAATGAATCTCCAAGAACGCGTTGGAACTTTTTCCGCTATCCCCGGTTTAGGGGGCATCTCATACCTCCCGGGGTTCATCGTCATGACAGCCCTTCACTCCCCGCAGCCTCAGCAGCCGTTACAGACAGTGCGTTTCAAATTGCCAATCTGGCAGACTGCCCACAGAATAATTCCTCGGTATCCAGTGGAAACCCAGCGAAGAAGAAAAGGAAAAGGTGTGGGGTCTGTGCACCCTGCAGGCGGCTAATCAACTGTGGTGTCTGCAGCAGTTGTCGGAACCGCAAAACGGGCCACCAGATCTGCAAATTTAGGAAATGTGAGGAGCTGAAGAAGAAGCCAGGCTCGTCGCTGGAGGTGAGAACCGGGGCTCTGCTTCCCCTTCTTTTGTTATTATCCCCTTGCACTCCAAAGCATTAACCTTTTCATCCAGTCACGTTCTAAGCCCTTGAAAATTGTTTCCATGCCACCCATGCCTGAACATCCTACCCCCGGCTTCTCAAATCTGCCTACCCGCCTAGCCTAATTGGCAGTAATTAGGGGTGTTTGTGTGGAGCGCAAGCTGAGCTTGGCTCAGACACCCCTAATTGCTGCCAGTCAGGCTGGGCTGGAACGCATCCGAACAACCCAGAGCTTGGCTCAGCTCCAAGCAGGGCTGGGAAATGGTTTTCAGCAGAGAGCCATCCCTCTCTGCACCCGGTCATTTTAACCAATTATGGAAACCGTCTCTGGATGGGAGAATCAATATCCCACAAAGCCTCAGCCTCCGACCACCAAGAGATGGTGAGAGTGATGGCAGGGCTGCTGATGGCGCTTCTCAAAACATAACCCAAGTTCTGTGTGGGGGGGGGGGGGACTGATCCTCTCCCACTGATCCTGTATGAATTGATTGTGAATATACAGTAGGGTTGAGATTAAATCATTTTTATATTATATTTGTGACATTGTGGCCAATTATGGATCAATCTAGGGCAAACTGCATACCAAGAGGGATGCAGAAAAACACTGTCACTTCAGAAAGAGAAAAACATTACAATCTGGCTTAACTGACAAGCAGCAAGAGGGTTCATTAGGACACAATCAGAGGGCCGTGTTGTTTTAAAGGTTCGTTTTAATTGATTTATTTAGGAGCTGACATTTGGTTAAGACAGAATATGAATGTTAAGTTGGGAGTATGGCTCTCTTCACTCTGGAAGTTTGAACCTGCTCAATGACTAAACATAAGCTCGTGGGGATGAGTCACCAACAAATGCAACCTGTGGGCCTGATGATTTGCTCATTAATTAAGTGATTACATAGAGAGGTAAAAGAGGTTAATTATAAAATATCACCCAATCTACTCATAGAAAAACACCATGTATGGATTCCTTTGTTTATTGTGAACTTCTGCCATCAGATAGTTGGATTTGTTTTTAAAGAAAACACATTTTTGTAGATTCTATCTATTCAAGTTATTTTTCTTATGGTTTGTTATGTACATAGTACTTGTGCCTATTTCAGAGAAATAATGTAAATATATTTAGATTGAAATTGTACCTGAAAGCTCAAAGGTGCAGCTTGTTCGTGAACAATGTGTTTACAAGCTCAATGTGCAAAACATGTTTTTTTTATTTAATTCCCATCATTTCTGTCTCATTTACAAATCAGGTGCTACATGCAGGTTTTCTGTCAAGTGACGCCAAGTTTGACAGCCACAGCCAATATTCCTGATAAAAATCTTAGTTACTTTTCCCAAGCATCTAACACTCTCCTATTTCGCAAATGAATACAACTCCAATGACTAAATCAGGTTCCTTTTTGTATGTAAAATAGGGTTTCAGTCATATAAACACCATTTGTGCAGACAGGGACAGGTCGAACCTAAATAGCTGTATTTTATATTTGAGTTAACATCCCAAAGTTTTGAAAAGTTCATATCAGGATACAGTTTGGTAAAAATATCTACACAACGCAAACAATCGGAAATCAGTGTTTGTAAGAATCTGAATTTAATCTTTTTATAGAAACTACCTGAAACAAGATGACTTACATTGGACTTAAATAACTCAAAACAATATCAATTAAATGACCTGATCATGTCAAAGGAAGTCATATAGATTACTTCCATTTAGTGCAGCCATAAAAAGTGTCATATATAGTTTAAATTGAGTATTAGAACAAGCTGATACAGAATATATGTGATGATTTTCATACACTAGGAAAAACTCTATTGCATCAAATCGGGGTTTAAGAGGTTAAATAAAGGGGGTCAATGATTGGTTACAGGTTCGACGTGTAGACCATAGAAGTGGCCATCGGTGACTTAATAACGTTGACTCCATATATCGTGTACTAACAGGTGTCCGGGAACAGGTGTCCAGGAAGCAGGCCTCACATTCATAATGCATGGGTAGACTCACTTTTGGAAAACATCCATTTGCAAAGACGGTTAGAATTACCGAGGGTGTGAAAACCCCTCAAACAAATCCACACATGCTCTTAAAAAGCTCCTTCACTGAGTTCGGTAATTCATATTATGGACTTCTCCAGCAGTAATTGTTATTTTTGACTCTGCATCTGTAATTACGGGCGCACCTTCTGCTGCGGAAATGGGCTGGAGTTTAAAGGCATCTCAGAGGTGTGAAGTTGTGCTTTGGCTTGGACAAACTTGTATATGTACATTCACAGGGAGTGCTTTTTTTTTTACTGTTGTTGTTGGAGGTGCTTATAGTCTCTCCATAGTTGAGTAAAGATTGGATTTAGGAAGTGTGAGGAACCAGGTGCTTAGGTACGTTTAAAAGGAAAATGTACAGCCCATGCGTGCAAATTCACATGTGAACAGTCCCACGTTTACACACTCTTTAGCACACACACACACAAAGATGTACACAAACACTCTGAGAAAACACACACACAACAGTGTACCTTGCGCCTTGGAAGAGACGATAAGCTACTGGCAGCCAGTTAGATTTGGCTGTCAGTGTTTTCCACATGGGAATCACCCTGAACTAATTATATCTTAAGCAGCAGTGGAAAATGCAAATCAGAATTTTACTCACACCCCTGAAATCGGAGAGCCAATTTAATCTAATACCCCCTTTAATTTAGCGCGCTAATGCAAGGCCCTAGAGAATTGCCCTGTGTCACTGCTGTGCTGCAGATTCTGCTCTCTCTCTGTCTCCAAGCTGCTCTCAGGCTCCAGGATGGATTAGTCTGGCAGAGGAATCTCATCTAACCTAACATTTCCCGAGCAGTTACCTTTGCGTAGCTTGAGCTCCTATGGCTCAAAGGTCCTTCATTAACTTTCAAATGCAATAATATCTCGCGTGTGGGCATGCTGCGCCCTAACCTCTGTTTACCTCGACTGTTTACCTCGACTTTGCTGATTTCTGCAGAGAGACGCAATTCTGTAAAAGTCCTGCCAGCCTGTGCTGCTCAACAGATGGATTCACATTGTGGCACTGAGACTGGCGCGGTGTGAGGGCATCCATTTGTGTTTATATATGCAGTGGTGGAATCAGGGTGTCCGCGGGGTCTTAAAAAGTATTAAAAGTTGATAAATCAATTTAGCAAAAATTAAGGCTATTGAAAAGTATTAAAGGGCATTTTACAAGGTATTACATTTTGTAGCTTGTTTTCAATAAGTATATGAATTGTCCAAAGAGGTTGTATTCTACAGTCTGCCTGAATGTAATCATTGCGTAGGTGTGTAGTGTGATTCTGTGTAGTTTATTTATGGCATCCCGTTGGATTTGACGTCATCTGAACAGGACATCGCACGCTCACTGCTTGATAGCGCGCGAAGGTCCGTTTACGCCGGTTGTTAAACAACATCGTTATGGGGAAATGCAAGTTTGCGTCCAAATGGTTGGAAGATAAGGAGGAAGGACAATCAATACTGTATATAGTAAATGTGAGGTAGAATGTGTCGCCAATGTAACCGGTTAAAACTCGAAGTGGCGATGAGGTCTTAAAATGTATGGAAAGGGTCTTAAAAAAGGTCTTAAAAGGTATTACATTTGACTTCAGGATTCCTGCATATACCCTGGGAATGTATATATTACATCTACTCAAAGTATCGTACTTAAGTAGATTTTTGTGGCACTTGTACTTTATCAGAGAAATTCTATATTTTTTTTCTAGTCCATTTTAAAGTCAGAATTGAACCTTTTACGCCGCTACATTTATATCACTGCTTTAGATTCTTTACAAATTCAGATTATAAGCCAATACAAAATGTAAATCAACTAATAAATAACCATTGACATATAATTATAGGTCAAAAACATGCAGTAGTAGTAAAGAAAGTAATTATCTCTACTTTTACCAGCATTGAGAGACACAATAATGCATCAATAATCCTAGTCCAGTAATTTCATATAGTGGATTCTGAAATGGGCCATTAGTCTTAACAAGAACTTTTACTTTTGGTAATTAAGTGCGTTTTGTTGCAAATACTTTTGGGAACAATTTGAATGCTGGACTTTTACTTGTAATACGGTATATGTACAATTAAGTATTGTTTCTTTTACTTAAAGGTCCCATGTCATGACCATTTCTACTGATCATATTTCCATTGTTGAGGTATACTAAAATAGGTTTATATTGTGCAATTTTCCAAACTCACATTGGTTTCTCATACAGCATCTCTGTAAAGTATATGTATTCACTCTCTGTCCTAATCGGCTTGTTGGAGCTCCTGCCTCCCCCGCCTCCCTGGGAGCCCAGTGTGCTCTGATTGGTCGGGACGTTGCGAGGCTCGCTGCTCAGTGAGCTGGCTTACTGGTGTGGTTTCCGGGTCGGTGATACAGCGAGACAGAGCGAAACTCATCCTGAGCACACACAAACACTCACAGCCGAAGTAAAAACAATAAGTCTGGCTTGATATTGAGTAAGAAAAAGGTTTATAAACGCTGTGAGAATGGGTCTGCGGAGAGCATTTCTCCGCGATCCCAACTCGTCTATTACCAACCAGGGAGCTCTATGCACGTCAATGGGACTCCCTGTTAGTTGAAAATGTACGCTAAAGGTCCCCCCACTGCGTTTGATAGTGACGCCAAGGGATCCTGGTGTGTGAGGAGCTCCACGGATTGGTCCATTTTGGTTCCCGGAAGAAACAAATGGAAAAAGAGAAATCTCTCACGAGGCGTTCTGGGGCAGCATAGACAGGTATTTTCTGTGTTAGAGTTTTACTCGCTACAGGGTGTACTTTGAGGGTTTGTGACTTTGCAGACCGTTTACATGCATAACAACCTTCATAACACACAAGGGGACGGGTAATAACCAGAAAAGCATGACATGGGACCTTTAAGTATAAAATGCAAGTACTTCTTCCAGCATTATTTGTTTGTGACTGTATGATTCCTAATCTTTTCAGC